TAACCTGCCAAAACCAAGTGAACTTATTTTGGGTTCCTGGTCACTGTGGAATTCAAGGGAATGAAAATGCCGACACACTAGCTTGGAACAACACTCTCATTGCTAGGCAGTCGAAACGGTTTATTAATCCGAGCATTTCAATGACTAGCAAAATTCTTTTACTATCAAAGAAAAATCTCAGTATGTACACTGGTTTAATAACAGGGCACTGTCAATGTGAATATCACTTGGAGTTAATAGGAAAACTTCAAGATGACATGTGTCGATTATGTGGCATAGAAAAAGAAGACTCTGAACACCTGCTATGCTCTTGTACAGCAATCTTCAATAAGAGGCGTATTTTTCTGGATAAGGAGCTGAAAAAACCCTTTGATATTTGGAATTCAGTTCCCAGTCAAGTAGTGCTATTCATTTGAAATGTAATACCTGACTGAGCAAATGCTTTCGGTCAGTCTATGTCGGTCGCAATATTAAAACGGGGAATATATCACAATAGATCTAAGTACTGGTCGCAGTGATCAAAATACCCAACACGCAAAAAAAAGCTCCTCCTCTCGCTTGATTTTCTACCATGCGTGAGAACTTGATGGAAGAATACATTTTAGCCATTTAATTTTATTGGTTATTACGATGTTTTTCAAAACTTGTTACATAACCATTGATTTGTTTTATAACGCTTCGAAACTTGCGCTTTTTCAGTTGCATAAAAGAATGAAATGAAGTATTTTCAAATCTAATTCAACACTCATATATGTTTTAGGCAGTATGTTTAACACCTTTATGACAAGTTGTCATTGTCATTGACAGACTTTCACACGATTTTAACAAAATTGTTTTTCACAAAGTCACTGACAGACTTGGTCATCACAAAAACCTTCGTCAAAATCTTATTCATTTTTTCGTCAATGACAAAGGTTTACCTGGTTACCAAAAGTGTAATTTCGTGCATTCTGTGTTACATTATTGTTATTCAAGCAGTTCAGGACTTAGATGCTTGTTCATTTTAAGGGCTTCATGTAATAGTTTTGCTCAAGTCATTGAATTTCGTTACAAATAAAAATACAATAAAAAAATCTATACATGTTCGTCACTGACAGCATTCCCGAGCAAAGTCTGAGATCAAATTGAAATCTAAATTCGATATTGTGATTTCGCTGATAATGATTACTCAGGTTGCTGTCGTTTTGGTCGTTTCAACTGTTAAAATATCAAAATTGAGATTAAAAAATCTTCCTGTGACATCACATTGAAAACTATTTCTGCTATCAGTGAGAGCAAACTGAAAACTCAATTTGATATCCATTTTTCCTGTTGATAACAAAACAAGTATTCAATTTGATGTTATGCTAAGACAATGAAAACAAACCCACAACAAAATATTTTTGAAGAGCAAATGTACAGCAAAATGAAAACAAAATTTGAAATCAAATTTGTCAATTGCGTAACAAGGGGTAAGACAGCTTTACTCTGAGTTGCATGTTTGCAGCGAGTAACTCGTGAGTAACTCAATGTACCTCAAAATTTAATCGACGTGCATCGTTACCTTTTGGCTTACTCCGTTCATCCCTTCACATATTAGGCGTCTGTCTTGCTTGTAAACAATATATAATTGTTCAGACCGGCTATTGAAAAGATGTGAATTCCAGAATTTGTTTAGAAAACGGCTCCACCGAGAAGAACGAGAAATTGTTGCGGGAAATCATCGGCATATAACTGAAGAACGAAACATGCTCCGAATATAATAAATAATAGTTAAAAGAAAAACAAATAAAACATTATTTAAATCTTTTTTAAAGTAGTTATGTTAATCTTCAACAAACACTTCCGTCGACGGCTGCAGAAGAATCCAGGTGGTGTATCGCAGAAAGCGAACCACTTTACGATCATTCAGAAAGCACAGCAGTAGCACCAGAAGTGGGAGGATGTCCGCTCGCATCAGAACGGCGCCAGTGCTTGGTTCGTAGTTTCATCTAGCGGCAGGTTGTTGAGCGATGGAAATGGGATTGCTTCGACGTGCAGTGTACGGATTATTTGCCGGATCTGGAGTATTTGGTCAGGCGGATCGAGTTCTTCTACCAAATCGAGCCGGATGTTTCCTTTTTGTTGTTGTTTTTCGGCTTTGCACCTCCATATGTTGCTGTGATGCGATAAGTGAGAAAGCAAATGACAGTGATCTTGTTCGCTGAGCAACGTGAGTTACTCGAGGTGCCTCAAAAGCAACTCTGAAATTGCTTATGATTAGGAGCTGTCTTACCCCTTGTTGCGTAAACTGAAATCAAATTATGATTTCAGTTTGATGTTGATATCAAAACTTGATTTCAATTTGCTGTCATTTTGATGCTGGACTTTGCTCGAGTTGTCACTGACAATTGGCATGATTTGCCTTGACAATGACTGACCAAAGTAGAATTGTGGATATCACCGTGTATTGTCGAGATTTCTGATTTCTGTCGAGAGCACTGAAGGTAATAACAGCAGCTCGATGATAAATTTCGTTCCAAATGATGCATGCAATGAGCACTCATACATGGGATTTCCAGTGAAAAATAGATGTATGGGTGCTCATTGCAAGACAGCGTATATCACGTGATATACGCTGTAATGTGAACGGGGTATAAGGTATAACCAACAATCAATACGAAACTAACGATTTTAAATTGGCTCACCACTTTAGTAGCCTATTGGTCCCAAGCAAACGATTAACGTACCCTATTCTAGTCGAAATTCTAGTACTACGCAATGTTTGTTTTGATTCGCTATGAAAGTTTGGCAGATAAAATGAGGGGTTATTGGATTTTCCTATGTTTCGAGGGCTGATTCGACAAGCTTGGGACCGAAGATAGTACCAGAGGTGAGCCAAAAAGTTGAGCACGTTTCTTTGGGACCTATTTGTCTTAGAGTTACCTCTATGGTATAACAGTCGTTTGTATCAGTCTCAGACTCCTTCATATAAAAGAGGTGTTTCCTCTAATGTTTCTTAGCACGACCACATGATATTACAAATAGATTTTATTATTCCCCGTTCACATTACAGCCTATATCACGTAATATAGGCTGTCTTGCAATGAGCACTTATAAATAGGATTTCCAGTGAAAACTAGATGTATGAGTGCTCATTGCAAGACAGCGTATATCACGTGATATACGCTGTAATGTGAACGAGGTATTAGAATACCTCCATGTCCCTGGGCTTACTCGGTCGTCGTTTGTTGTGATGTGAGTGTAGGAATAATGTGTAGTATGTAATAATAATGAAATGTATATGTGTAAAAAATTATGATAATAAATAGTTCCATTTTCATTGAAGCTTCCCTTGCTTAAAAGTACCAAGCAAGCAGTTCGTCCGCAATCGCATTAACGAAGTTTCGCGAGATTCCGGATACGTTCTGAAAACAGATCCACGCTTATATCAACAATCAATACGAAACTAACGATTTTAAATTGGCTCACCACTTTAGTAGCCTATTGGTCCCAAGCAAACGATTAACGTACCCTATTCTATTTAGTCGAAATTCTAGTACTATGCAATGTTTGTTTTGATTCGCTATGAAAGTTTGACAGATAAAATGAGGGGTTATTGGTTTTTCCTATGTTTCGAGGGGTGATTCGACTAGCTTGGGACCGAAGATAGTACCAGAGCTGAGCCAAAAAGTTGAGCACGTTATTTCGGGACCTTCTGGTCTTAGAGTTACCTCTATGCTTATATGGCATTCGGTATTTGTCATACTCATATAAAACAAAAGAAATCCGATCGATGAGCTTTCCGAAGACAAGCTTTACGAAAATAGAGAATATTCTACTTTTATTGGTTCGGGTTGCGCCACGATAGCACTAGTGTCATAACTGGCACCACTGTAAATTAAATTCACTGAAAATAATAACAAGCTCTGCCCGCTCTAGTCATCATGGATAAGAGGTACAGATTTGATATTGACAAAAATTGTATGTAATATTGAAACCTACAAAAGCTTGATGAACTCTCTGTAACTCGATATTGAAGGGACTGTCGAGTTATAGAATTATCGAGTTATAGAACAAAAATCCAATAGAAAATCACCATCTCAGAAGCCATGAAAATAATTTTTACTATGGTTCTATAACCCTATATCGAGTTAGTGGACATCGAGTTGTGGACAGTTGACTGTATTATAATGTCATATCCATTACGTATTTAATGAAATCTTCAAAAACCACCATTTTTGATTGAATTTATTACATTATTATAGCAACAGTCAATACGAAACTAACGATTTTAAATTGGCTCACTACTTGACTAGCCTATTGGTCCCAAGCAAACGATTAACGTATCCCATTCTAGTCGAAATTCTAGTACTATGCAATGTTTGTTTTGATTCGCTATGAAAGTTTGACAGATGAAATGAGGGGTTATTCGTTTTTCCTATGTTTCGAGGGGTGAATCGATTAGCTTGGGACCGAAGATAGTACCAGAGCTGAGCCAAAAAGTTGAGCACGTTTCTTCGGGATCTACTAGTCTTAGAGTTACCTCTATGATTATAGTGCGTCAAACTAGGAAATAGGAAAATTAGTACGGCATTAATGATATCAAAAGTCATTTTTCTAATAAAAAAAAAGGTTCGTTTACTTATATATTTTTTCCTATTTTTAAATATTTCAAATAGTAGCACGCAAAATTTCAAGAAAATTCATCGAGCGTTAATTTTTTAGATAAACCTTGAATTTAATATTTACTTAACTGCATTAAATACGGCGCCTTCACGGTACTTTAGGCCAATTGCTCCACGCATACCCTTGTGTGATACAAAAATTGTCCAGCCTTAACCGAATTAATTCCTAGCCAACAGGGAATAACCGTAACTGTCGATAATTATCCACTTTACTCTACTTGATAACCACATACAACAATAACTCGTGAGTTCCTCCGGGTTATATGCATGGCGAAGGATACGGTGAGTGCCGTAAAGTTACTGGGAAAATTCTTCCTGCCATCGAAATCATTCCTATCACGTCAGTCGATTGTTTCGGAAGCAAGTTTATCTTTTAGGCCGTTCGAGACTATTTTTTTCACAAGTATGGTTATTAGCACAATTAAATGAAAATAAACAGAAGCTTAAATTAATGCTAAGCGATGAATTGTTAATGTGATAGGAAGAAAGTTTACTTTGTAATCAGTGAAAATCAAAAGTGAAGCAAGTAAAGTAATTGGTTGAAAAGTTCAAGAAACCGATTTGTTTTCCTTTTTGAAAAAAGCAGCTATTCGAAGGGGTGGTGGATTTGCGGGATTTGCAGTTTCCCAATCGAAGCAATCGAACGCTTAAATTTAGGCAAAACGTGAGACATTAGCTTAGTTTGCTCATTCAGCTGTGTAGAAGAAGAAAATTTTCCTTCAGCCACAAAGCGATCGATATTGGTCCCCCATCTGAAGGCACGACTTGTATGTATGGGAAGTAGGAACAGTCTATTGCATCAGGCCTCCTTGTGAGAGATCCGGCTTGAAGTGAGAGCGTGTGTTGGAATGTTGTATCCTACTGTCCTCGTCGTCGCTGCTGGGGTGCATTCGAGTTACCATCATATGCTCGAAGCGCAAAGAAGAGCGGTGAAGTGAGCTCCCACTGCTGCAGTGTGACAGGACCACCCACTGTGGGTGGCCCCGTGTTTTGGGTCGTTTTTCTTTTGACGAAAAAAGCGCGCGCGAAGCACAGCGGTGGATTTATTATTGGACGGAAAAGCGAATCATATGTTTACTAATATTGTGTTAAAGAACGATGCGGTGGCGGCGTGTTTTCAAGCGTCGGGAAATAATGGCTGATACAGACGTAATGAGGAGACATGTGACTGGGACTGCGGCGTCGTTTGAGAGCAGACGTCGCTGAGAATCATTGTGAGTGCAATAGAACTTGGCTTTTGAGCGAAATCAGGACCTTGTGTAGAGTCGTACGTCTCCGGTGAAGGGTGCGTATTATTTAAGACTTATTCGGACGACAGTGCCAGCAGTAACAGAGCGAGAAAGAGAGAATAATCGCAATCAGTACGGGGGAAAGGAAAAAGATGTCCGACTTGATGATTGCTAATCAGAGCGAGCATTTAAGTGATGAATTAAATTTTACCGCGTTTATCGATCTGTGCCGGTTTTGCTCGATCAAGAGCGGTCCTAGGCTGAACATCTTCGACAAGGAAGCTGAGCAGAGGCAGATATTGTTTAAGATAAGAACAATTTTGCCGATTGTGGTAAGCAGTATGGTTCACTTTCAACATAGAATTTAGAATTAAGTTATATTATACGTCAGACAACCTTAATTAATCCAAATTGGCGTGTGTTTGTATATGGAATAAATTATTGATATTTTAATGGCAAAGAAATGTTAATTATGAAATGGCTCTATTTAGGCCACATTTTGGAAAAAAAATCTTAATTGGTTTCATGTTGATATCGTTTGAGATTGATGAATTACATTTTTGTGTGTGTGCTCTCAAATACATGATGTAAATAATCTAATCGGAATAATTTATTCAATAAAATGTAAATCAGACTAAGGATATAGTTTATAGCTTCTATAATCATGCTGACTGGTGATTATCCATCTTCATTCATAAGCATCAAAATATTTCTCTGCTATTATACGGATTCATTTATTTCTGAAAGATACCTACGCACGCCATCTCATGTTAGAGATACCAGCTTGAAAATTTCTATTGCTAATGAATTTCACCCCTGTATTTGGAATGCATTTGAAGATGCGTCCAAGTGTACCGTTCCATCGGATGTTGCTCATGTTTCGTCTGGAGTACTATCGATTATTAATGCTGTACGACTGCAAACGTATAAATACGGCAGGCGAATGATTTTGACTCATCCCCCTATACTCTAGGCACTCATGCATTACGGGATACCTACTTGTGGGTTGAAAGGCATTCATAGAAAGGGTTTTGCAAATTAGCCTAGACAAGATGTAGAGAGATGAATATTTCATTGCTTGCAGTCTGCATTGGGACATATGTGGTATGCACGCATATAGGAAGTATGTCCTGGAAGAAGTCACACAAGTGGGGGTTCTATCGGAAAGTGTGAGGGCATGGCACATCATGCATCAAGCGGTCCGGCTTTGAGTTGATGAACGTAAGGTGTTTAAATTACTAAACAATGGTTTTGATATTGAACTACAGGGAAGATAAGGCTTAGGGCGAGCACTGCTATACATATAACTTGGATTGTTTTTTGCTGAAGTACTGTTTAAAACTGTTTTATAGTGCGTTCTCCACCAAACTGGACTAATAAATCAAGAGCAAATTTTCATTAAGTCGAAAGTAACAAAGGTAAACAAAGTCGAGCTATCAGTGTCAATCGATGCTCCTGCTATTACACTATATACTGTCCAAATATAGGATCACATCCCGTTTTTAAATTTATTTACCAGTCAAATTGCTTTTTGACGTAATCACCTTCTGATCAAAATATTTTACGATGTTACTTAAGTCACCCAATTTCTATGAAATTGTCGTTTGTCTTAAGTAACAACGCAGAGAAACCCGTGAAAAGTGTACGTTCGTCGTTTCGTTTTCTCATTATTAAAATGAATAAACCGAACTGTTTGTTGCTAAGATGATTTCGGTAGTCCTAAAATGATGAATGGGCTGCAGGTAAGGAGACGTGATTGATAATTCTCCCGGATATCCTGGTAAATACAGCATTAGGGGCCACCAAATGACTTTTGAATCAAAAACCATTATTTTTTAGCATGAAAGCTAGCGATATGCTTTGTATGATTCAAACCCTGCTTAATATGTTAAACATTGCTATCACTATGAGATTATGTGTTCAATTGGAAATAGGAATAACTTTTCGGTCATTAATACAAAACTTTATTTTTCTCGGATCGGTGCGAATGTTACATTCGACATAATAAAAATTTGCTCTTGAAATGTGTTTTTGCACTTGTATATAAAAGTGTGATAAAAATGCGTTGCTTACTTTAATGTTCTAATTTCATGTAAAACAAGCAATTAATACGCCGTCTACAACCAGACGATTTTTTTTTTTCCTTTGGTTTGTTTTTTCCGTCGATCTTGTTTTCCGTGCTGAGCACCAATGCTACCGACGTGCCAGGAAGGCAGCTCTCACACCTGTACCCTACCTATCGACCCATCAACTCATGAACCGGGGACCAACGGCTTTACTTCCCATCCGAAGGAAGGCGTGATCAGAGATGTTATGCCTCAGAACATCCCGGCGGCGCCGACTGGGATTGAACCCAGGCCTGCTGGGGTGAGAGGTAATCACGCTTACCACTACACCACCGGCGCCGTTCAACCAGACGATTACGAAATCGTGCATTTTTTTTTTTAACTTTTTAACATTAACTATTAAACAAATATTTCTTCTTTTTAAATTCATACATATTCATCTTCTTGACTTTGGAGTGAGGGGTATGGAATTTGCTCACTACGAAGGGGTCCTCCCTTATTATAAATTAGTCAACTAATATTAAATCCAAAAAAATCACACACATCATTAAATAGTCTGCAATATTTTTCGAGCCATGTGGTGCCCGGAAATTCAGAAGAACATTGATGTCCCGAAGCAGTCAATATGATTACTAATCAAGTCAAAAATAATAAAATAATAGAGCAGTACCGTCGTGGCGGGCTTATTTGAACACTTTTTCGGTGTAAGCAAACTTGAGCATGTTCGCATGACATCAATAAAGTAATTAATAATGGGATGTAGTGTATGCCCGATGATGATTTCTTTATGATGTCTAATAAAAAATATAGGAACGATCAAGATTGATTGAAGAAAATTTTCGCCATATAGCCATCAAACCGCAGTCGGGAATGTAAACAGGCAGGCTACTTTGGACACATGGTAAATGTCATCTGTTTTGATAATTAAATGCACTAAATCAATCGACATCATAAACTTCATCCAAAAATAAACCAGGGTTCTTCTTCCTCCTAGCATTTCAAGCTAATTGCTTATCTCATATTAGCTTATTGCGTGCTTTCAACTTAGTATTCTAGATTTGCTTCCACAGTTATGAATTGAGAGCTTTCGATGCCTGTACCATTTTTGCATTAGTATAATTCTGTGGCAAGTAAAATCATACTCATGCCCAGGAAAGTCGAGAAATTTTCCAACCTGAAAATTTCTAGATCGGACCGGGAATCGAACCCATCTCCATCATGGTCTTGCTTTGTAGCTGTGCCTTTACCGATTTAGTCAAGGGAGGCCAAACCAGTACAAAATCCAACTTCAGATCAGTCAAATTACTGGTTCAACAGAGCTTTTAAAATATCATAATTTTGTTTTAAAAAGAGAGAGAAGGATTAGTAATTTCCATTTAATTCCACTACCTTATTTTTTATCCTTGACAGATACGCGTCAATGTGCAGATTTCTTCAGTGTCTTGTAGTAATACTTGACTGAAGAAAACATCGCATTTTACCGAACATTTATGAATCTAGGTACAGAGGCGTCTCGTCCGCTTGTGCAACCTAATTGAACAGGTAATCACCCTCAGCTCAGTCAGTAAAGGCACAGCTAAAAAGCAAGACAATGCTGGAGATGGCTGGGTTCGATTCCCGGTTCGGTCTTGAAATTTTTTTGGGTTGGAAAATTTCTCGACTTCTTTAGGCATTATAGAGCATGATTGTGTTTGCCACACAATTATTACACACATTATTACTTTTCACACACATTGCTCAAAACAGTAAAATTCATTGAGTCATTTTCATATGAATATGAACTGCCATCTTCCTCATCATTCACTGCCTCGTGAGAGTCTGAATGATTGAGAAGTAAACGAGTCACTGACAGCCGAGCATTCAGTCAGTACCTCAGTCAGCATGTTTATTCTGCCGTGATGGTACCCAATACTTGTTTTGAATGACTGAGAGTACATTTTGTATGGAAAAATTACTCAATTACATGCTGTGTGAGCGAAGGAAAGCGGTGTAAGTCGCCTGCTCGTGAGTGACTGAATGTTTTTGTTGGCTCTTTCATTGCCTCGTCCTTTACCGTTTGTACAAACGCTCTGCACAGAGCAATAAGGTACTGCAGTGTGACGTCACAAATGAACTCAGTGTTAATCGGTTGAATCTTTTCCACAGTTCAGTGGTACTGTCTACAAGCGCTTACCCGTTTTTTTTTCGAAAAAACAAATTCTAAAATTTCCGAATTTTAACTTGAAAACTGTTGAGGAACAGCGCGGTGAAAGAATGTTGTTCGTAGACCATGCAGAAGTGTGGTTTACATCTCACTGCAGTCTGAAAAATTATCGACAAAATCTACCCAAGAAATAATCGACTAAGTCCACGTAAACAGTACCACTGAACTGTCATCAGATTGAGGTTAACCCCGACGGTGCAAACCTACACGGATAGAAATCTCCTTATATCTTTTGGCAAATTTGTATTGCTGATTACTCATGTATAAGTCAATAAATAAGCAGACGCCTTGCAAAAAGTTAATGAAGATCATGTGTCAAATGAAATGTATAAGCGGCCACACCCGTCACACCTGGTCACACATACCTTTTATGCATTCTTATAGGACCTATGCGGTTTGTTTTATGGAATGTATAAGGCTGTCCCGAAGAAACATGCTCAAGTTTTTGGCTCAGCTCTGGTACTATCTTCGGTCCCAAGCTAATCGATGCACCCCTCGAAACATAGGAAATTCCACGAACCCCTCATTTTATCGGTCAAACTTTAATAGAAAATCAACACAAACATAGTGTAGTACTAGAATTTTGACTAGAATGGGGTACGTTTATCGATTTGCTTGGGACCAATAGGCTAGTCAAGTAGTGAGCCTATTTATAATCGATAGTTTCGTATTGATTGTTGTTATGACGTACTATAAAGGTAGCCTATAGGAATGAACCGAAAAAACGAAACGCTTAAATTTTTGGCATTACAATTCGCCTAAAGGTATACTTAGTATACAGGCTGTTTGGTTCCGTTTTTTACATATTTTCAGGGTAGATAGGGCTCCTAAAGTTATGAAAAAATCCCCATGAAACATAGGGTCGGAAATGACTGCTAAGTGAGTTATTCAACTTTTTATGTTTTTTTGTATTGCCAACTTTGGTTAGCTATATTTTTTTAATGTTAATGTGGTTTTCTGATTTCAACATACCAAATGAAAGATTAATGTCTTAGCTATCAATGCTTTCTAGAAAAGAACTCGATTAAAGTTAATTATCATACATTAAAATTGAAAAGTATGTTGAAAGTACCGAAAAAACTGGTGAAATTTCATACATTTTAGTGTTTTTAAGTTGAAAACTTTCATTTCTGTTTATTTAGTTGTTCTACAAAACATTTTCCATGCAGTTCCCTAGATTTGTGTGTTTGGTAGTAACCTTGTAGGCTTTATGGTTTCTTCGTAATTATTGATTTAAAACAGCCATAAAAACTTGTGGCGTTTTCTTAAAATGCACTATGGCCACCCTATTCGTTCGTACATTCGGCTGTTGCAGTGGACTACGCACATGAAAATTTGGTAGAATGTTATTGTAAATGTTGAACTACATTCTTAACATTCGATTACCGCACATCTCCTGCGCCGAAAGAAAACATAACTGCGGAGATGTTTCGCGGTATCGAATATTGCTCAGTCTCAGCAGAAAACACAACAAGAGACACCGAATCGACGAATTCTTAGAGCGGAAGGGAGAGAAGTAGGTAGTGGTAATAAGTCGATGTCCTTTTTATTTCATAGCACTCGCAGCTCGGCTGTGGTGCTGTTCGATGGAGGAGTGTGGAGCTCCGCTGCTTCTGCATACACACTTAGATTTTTTTTACAGGAGTTAGTATTTTTACTGGATTTTTGGATTACTGACTCGGTTAAAATTCAAATGACTGTTATTCGTAAAGATTGGATAAAATCGATTTATTTTTATTTTTCATCATTACACGGGGTTAACAGAAGTTAGTCGGTAAATTTTGGTAACACATTTCTCAACTTTGAATTTTTCACAGATTTTTTTTAAATTTGACCGAAGAGTTCCGCAATTCAAAAACTCGGTAAAAATTACTGACTCGATAAGTGTGTACTGATGTATAGTTGGTGAAGAGGCTAGCATGTGGAGGGTATTCTCGGGCTAGTGAATGCCACCCATCCCCACTTATAATTCAGTAATAGACTATTTATTCATTTCTGTTTGATATGTTTACAAAGTTTGGCAAACAGAAATGAGCATTGCAGTGTAGTTACCAATTTTCCAAGTCATAGACTTCAGATAACTGTTCAAAGTCCCAGATTTTGTATAACGGAATCGTGAACAAAAAAAACCAAAGACCACTACACAGCAAAAAAATAATTTTGATATCACGTCAAAGTGGATGCACTACAATCATGTCGAAAATATGGTGTAATATTACTTGCTAAAAAGGACAAAATTATCATTAATACAATGCATGAACTGACATTACGCTGCTTTTACTGCATTTGTTTATTTATGTGGTTATAAAAATTACATGAAATTTTCGACATGATTGTAGTGCATCCACTTTGATGTGATATCAAAATTATTTTTTTGCTGTGTATGACAAACGTGATCGGTCTGAAGGGATCTTTACATAGAAATTGTTTTAAGGTAATACGATTCAGAACCTCGGGCTCTGGTTCCACTTCGCTTTTTCCAGGAGTCCATTATCTGCTACCGGAAAACATACAATAGCAAAACTGTGATGACAATTTAGTGCCTCAAATCACAATAGTGGCCGAGATCAACTCCCTAGAAAACTCGAAGTTCACGATCACGTTTGTCATAGTGGTCTTTGGTTTTTTGTTCATGATTCCGTTATAAAAAAAATGGGACTTTGAACAGTTATCTGAAGCCTATGACTTGGAAAATTGGTAACTACACTGCAATGCTCATTTCTGCTTGCAAACTTTGTAAACATATCAAACAGAAATGAATAAAGAAATGAATTATACCCATCCCGGGTGGCATTCACTAGCCCGAGAATACCCTCCACATGCTAGCCTCTTCACCAACCATACATCAGTACACACTTATCGAGTCAGTAATTTTTACCGAGTTTTTGAATTGCGGAACTCTTCGGTCAAATTTAAAAAAATCTGTGAAAAATTCAAAGTTGAGAAATGTGTTATCAAAATTTACAGACTAACTTCTGTTAACCCCGTGTAATGATGAAAAATAAAAATAAATCGATTTTATCCAATCTTTACGAATAACAGTCATTTGAATTTTAACCGAGTCAGTAATCCAAAAATCGAGTAAAAATACTAACTCCTGTAAAAAAATCTAAGTGTGTATGCAGAAGCAGCGGAGCTCCACACTCCTCCATCGAACAGCACCACAGCCGAGCTGCGAGTGCTATTAAATAAAAAGGACATCGACTTATTACCACTACCTACTTCTCTCCCTTCCGCTCTCAGAATTCGCCGTTTCGGTGTCTCTCGTTGTGTTTTCTGCTGAGACTGAGCAATATTCGATACCGCGAAACATCTCCGCAGTTACGTTTTCTTTCGGCGCAGGAGATGTGCGGTAATCAAAAGTTAAGAATGTAGCTAAACAATTACAATAACATTCTACCAAATTTTCATGTGCGTAGTCCACTGCAACAGCCGAATGTACGAACAAATAGGGTGACTATAGCGCATTTTAAGAAAACGTCACAAGTTTTTATGGCTGTTTTAAATCAATAATTACGAAGAATCCATAAAGCCTACAAGGTTACTACCAAAGACACAAATCTAGGGAACTGCATGGAAAATGTTTTGTAGAACAACTAAATAAACAGAAATGAAAGTTTTCAACTTAAAAACACTAAAATGTATGAAATTTCACCAGTTTTTTCGGTACTTTCAACATACTTTTCAATTTTAATGTATGATAATTAACTTTAATCGAGTTCTTTTCTAGAAAGCATTGATAGCTAAGACATTAATCTTTCATTTGGTATGTTGAAATCAGAAAACCACATTAACATTAAAAAAATATAGCTAACCAAAGTTGGCAATACAAAAAAAAACATAAAAAGTTGAATAACTCACTTAGCAGTCATTTCCGACCCTATGTTTCATGGGGATTTTTTCATAACTTTAGGAGCCCTATCTACCCTGAAAATATGTAAAACCCGGAACCAAACACCCTGTATATACTCATTCATCGCCAAACTATTCTTCAGCCAGAAAAGGGGGGGAGGGAGATCGTCTCTTTGTTGCCAGCTCACGGGAAACCTATGGACGAGTGCACCGATGAATTTGAGTTCATGCACTGACAAAAATTTGAGCGGGGAAATGTTTACTAAAAATGAACACTAAATGTTCATTATTAATGAACATTGCCCCGCTTTCCTCCATCAGTACATGAACTAAAATCCATCGGTACAGTCGTCTATGGGCAGTGTTGCCAGAAGCTTTCGTTTTCATTCAGCCCGTGCAGGGTGGCCAGACCTACAGATTTATCGGTAGTCCTACCGATTTTTGGGATGCCTACCGATTCACAGACGAAAGGTTAAAAACTACCGATTTCTCACTTTTCCTACCGAGAAGCACAGATTTTTAATAATCTTGAAAAATGTTCAATACCTACGTTCTGTTTTCCATGTAGTCTGAATAAAGCTGTCCACGAGGCAGTTACGATCAGCTGACTTTTTTGTTTACCAAGAACTTTTGACAGATCACAGTAGAACTGGTAGTTTATCCTCATATGAATTACTGCTTTGTTTATGTTTACATTCAGCACCAATAACACCAGATCTTTCACATACTCTAGATTTCTAGCTGCCAGTACTGATAAACGTCCGCCTCTTGGATCACATTAATAGCATTAGAATTTGAAATATTGATTTCGACACGTTTAAAGTAGAAGAACTGAAGGAAAGTGTATTGTTCCTTCCTCACTGGTTGGTGTTGTCGGTTCTAACGTCCAACGTCTGTCACTGTCTGCAAAAATATCTAATAGCAATTACCTTGCATTGTCATGGTCATCTGGGAGAAGGCTCGCGTTTTTTTCTCGAGTGCATGAACTCAAATCCATTCGTGCATTCGTTTATACGAGTGTCTGGACCGGTCATGTGTTTCCATTCGTTCTCCGAGAACGAACCATTAAGTCAAGGCAATTTTTATACCTACTACAATACTTATTTTCTGTTGTATATTTTTAACAATAAATACAGCATTTTGCTTTTAATTAGAATTTTGTAGGATAAACATATACTGAATGAAACTACATGCACCAATTATTTTTAAATTGAGATATTTATATTTATTTTCGAAGATCAAAAACAATTTTGTTGTAAAAATCACAGATGTGTTAGGTGTGGTAGAATCGAAAAGGTACTTTGGGTAAGACTAACCGTTTTTGGAATTCAATGTTTCAATATTATAACAGAAACCGTAGTGTGAATACTAGTGGACATAACGAGAACCTAGGATCGCATTGACCATACCCAGACATTTCCTGAGTATCCTCGGGGAAGAGGTCAAAACCTAGCGCGTTAACCTAAACTTATTAATTCTTGGTAAACTATTAATACAACCGTCTATCAATGCATACAAGAAAAAATATAACCTACATTTTTCAACAAACAATTATAGAAATGGACTAATAACAGGATCGTATACATTTTTGAAAGTATTGTACTGTTTCTGCGCAATACAACCTTAGGCAACTCAGTTCATAAAATTCACAGAAAATTTTTCAGACGACTGCAGAATCAGATACGTTACTGACCTTGCATATCTTTTGCTATAAAACTGTAAGAGAATCGCACAGTTCGTCTGTCTTTGCACGGAAATGAAAAACTGTTAGAATTTGATTTTGAACCAGTATTTTCAGATTGGGTGAAATTACAAAATTTTCCATATAGATTATTTTTTTAGATGTGTAAACCGGACGATTAGCATTGTTATTATGTGCTCCAATGAAGGGTTAAACAAACCATATTAATTTTCAAGTGGTATCTCTTTAAAAATGATGATCGATGTTTTCTGATAAATATTATAAGTTGAGTAGATTAATTGATGTATCTTCCACCCTTTATCTTATATTTTGCCGTCAGATAAACAAGGAGGATTTTCTTCCGAAAAAAATTTGTGAGCGCTGCGTCAATAAAATTGAGCAATTCTTCGACTGGCGATCCAGCTGCGTACAAACTGATGCAATATTGCGTAATTACGCTGATTCAATGCGAGTAGTTACGGCTACGATAAATTTTCAGGTGAGTTGTGGTAAGATCATCCTTCGTTACCCTCTGCACAGGATACAAGAAAGAGGTTACTTTTTAAATTTTCCTTATATATCAGGACGGTACGGTTAATATTGACAAAATGACACCAGCTCAGAAAAATGCATATCTGGAAGCGCACATGGCAGTGCAACAGCAAATGATGCAAGCTGCTCAACAGATGCACCAACAGCAGCAGCAGCAACAACAACAGCAACAACAACAACAGCAACAGCAGCAGCAGCATCAGCACCAGCACCAACAACAGCAGCAGCAGCAACAACAGCAGCAGCAACAACAACAACCGCAACCACCCCTTCAGTCACACCACGGATCATCTCGGTCAGCGAAGAAATCCAAACCCAACAATCACGACAGTCAACCGGCACAGTATCATCACCAACAGCTTCAGCAGCAAAGTCTGCAACAGCAACACCACAGCCACCAGCAAGCCAATAATTCGATACCAACTGCTACTACTAGCGGTACTATCAATACAACCCACTATGCGAATACTATCAAAGTACCGCAGATCAACACTAGCTCAATATCGAATTCTACTAATACCAGCACTGCTGGTGGCGATAGCAGTACCTTCACTGTGCCGGACGACGTGGGTATGGGTTTTGAAGGTGGAGTACGCGTTCTTCAAAGTTTGGGGAATTGGTACATCGACAACCGCACAATTTCTTGATTATATCTAATCGTTATATCAACTTTTTCCATTTTCCCTTGCTGGACAGGTCACCGGAGATACCTCCAAACATTCCTCGACCAAACTTAATTCCCTTTACAGAACCTTACACTGAAGGCGGATCAATGCATCCTGCGACACGGTTGAAAGCATTGCAGCAAGTTCAACAAGCATCGTCTAAGAAGAGCACAGCCAAACCGAAGGCAACTATCATTAATACGGGTCCACCGAAGCCGGTCTTCGAGTGTACAATCTGCGGGAAAGGTCTAGCTCGGAAAGATAAACTGACGATACATATGCGAATCCATACAGGGGAAAAGCCATATATCTGTGAGGTTTGTGATAGGGCCTTTGCACGAAGGGATAAATTGGTGATCCACATGAATAAGTTCAAGCATGTCACCCCAACTAACATCGCTCCTCTTGGAAAACGCCAGAACCGTGTGCCTACGTTAGGTTTGAATCATGGCCAAGAATACAGTTTTTTAACAGCATAAGCATAACAATTAATTTCTAACTCTATTTATAGTTAAAAAGGAAGAACAGAAAAGCGAAGACAATAAGCCAATACTGATTGATCATCATGCCTTAGCTACGCAAACTTTGACCACAGTGGTCAACAATATTTCAGCTCAACAACAGCAACAACAGCAGCAGCAACAACAGCAACAGGGTCAACCACCTGGGCATTTAACCCAAGCTACCGGCCCTCCTGGACAACATGGGCAGCAACAATCCAGTGGGCCATCAGTTTTAGGAATGAGCATACCTCAACATCATCATCAGCTGTCTTGGACGTGTGAGTTATGTGGTAGAATGTTCCAAACACGGGAAGAATGGACGTTGCACGCCAAGAGTCATCTGGAGGTGAGTGTGTGATATTATTTATCTGAAGTTGATCAACACATTTTTTTTATGTTTTAGTATTGACAGCAAGCAAGCGGTACTGTGGTTCTAACAGGCAGCAGCACTGATAATAATAGTATTAATAGTCACAGAGATAAGAATATTCAATCTTCGCCGTCAATTCCATCAAATCAGGTAAAGTAATCAGCGATGATTAAATTGATGTTTAAAATTCAAAATGTTATGTAAAGCAAATTTTGGGCACTGTTACTGGATCTCTTGTGGGGAGAGCTCATTTATAGCACGAGACTCCTGCCATATGGGATGTTATTTTTTTTCTGGAGGAACATAAAAAAAAACAAAAGAGGATCGCTAAACCTTTCACTGTTTGAAAATATGATTATTTACCTTGCGTTTGGCACCTGTTTGAAAATAATTCACCGAGGGAACCCGAACAACTCCTAACAACAAAACGTAAACAATGGCTTTATACGCATATTTCTCCAGAATCAAAACACACCCAAGCGATCTAACACCAGAATCTGGTAAAACAAACTTCCTTTATCGAATGGTATTGTTAGTTTGCGTGGGTATATTTTGAATCTTGATAAATTTGCATTTTAAGCCAATATTTACGTTTGGTTGCTCCACCTATTTCAATTGTTGGTCTAGAACTATGTTTCTTAAATAATTTTTTTGCCACATAACTCAATTCCGTTGAAAGCGAGGTTTGCATGGAACATTTAATTATAATGCAATGAATGATCCCAGTGCAGAAATTGATATTCTAAAACTAATTTAGGACCTTTTTAAAATAAACTAAATAAAATTCAGGCAACTAAAGAGGCATTCAATGTAGCTAATAAACCAGCATATTTGGAGATCAGTGATTTGATCTATAGTAGTATTTCGCGTGTCCTTAGTTTAGTGCATTTCGTATTACTCCATCACTATTGAGAAATGATGAAGTATTCGATTTTTTTACAGTTGTCATTCTTGCATTTATCGCAAGGAACCGACTCTAATTGAAAGGTCCTGCTATTTACCGTATGCGTGATAATGTTTGCACCATTAAGCAATGACAAAATTAAAAAAAAAATCGCAAAAATTTCGCTTTTGAGTTTTTTTATTTATTCAAAGGGGGATGTTTCTCAGAGTCTTGAACTATGTTAATCATCGATCATGCTGCAATTACGGCCTCCACTCGCTTCCGGAATGCACGGCAGGTTCTAATAATGTAGTCTGGATCCATTTCTCTCCAGTTACGGGTCAATGTTTGTCTGAGGCTTGCTGTACTCGGGTGGCGTTTAGAACAGGCCTTGGTTTTCATGACGAGCCATATTGAGTAATCCAGCAGATTAAGATCGGGGCTGGATGGCGGCCACATATCTTTCGCCCAGAACGGAAGATGTTCCTGCAACCACTTCTGAGTTCGGTTCAAGGTGTGGCACGGAGCCCCATCTTGTTGAAATACAACATTTGGCTTCGGACCGTACTGTTCTTTGATCCACGGAAGAACATATTTACTTAAAATTCCGATGTAGACCTCCGTGTTGACCTTGTCGCCTTCTGGAATAAACACCGGGTCCATTTTTTTGCCATCGGAAGCCAATTCAAGCACCATAACGCTAGCAGTGCTTGGTCAGATACACATTCTTGTGCTCGCCGGCCACGTCTTTTACCGGAAGAGAACTAATACACCGGTTGGTTCTGGAATTTGATACGGGATCGACGGTAAGAATGCTCTCGTCAGTGAACAGGATTACCGGATTTTTTCGCTTAAGGAAGTTCAAGATTTTCTTGCATCGTTCGTAAAGTCACTGATCCTGTGTTCCTTTGCTATTTTCCTTATTGAACGAACTGGATTCACCCGAATCTTCCTTTTGATAGCAGCGATAGCCCTCGGAACCCGAGCTGACCTCGGATGACCTGTGGCTACCTTTGCGGATAGTTGTCCTTTCTTTTCTCGGTCTAAAAACCTTTTGACGGTCCACCGGGACACTTCCATGGCGATTGAAATGTATTTTTGCGACATTTGCACGTGGGACAGATCACGAATACGCTGCCACTTCGTCATGGTGCAACTGTCAAACTAAGTAAATCATTTTCTTTTATACACAGCCTACTACGGTATGAGCTATACGTTACGTGCATGCAAAGAAAACCAAGGCATTGCACAGTGGTTTGAATGCTCAATATCACGAACTTTTTTATTTCCGCCTTCAATGTCGGTTTTTTCACTATGATGTCTTTAAAAGAGTTTTTGCATAAAATAAGGCGCAAAGACTAGTGATAGGTTTTAATTCGGAACTCCACCACAGGCGGCGCTGCAAAATCTAACTTTTTACATTTACAAGATAGGTATGCGATGTCTTCAGCAAAGTTGTAGATAATTTTACTACAAAAATCTTTGCTGAACACACAAATCTTCTATATTCCTTAGTTTTTGAGATACGTAGCGTTTAATATGACTGTTCAACAAAATTTAATTTTTTTCACTTTTTATAACATATTTAAAAAACTATAGGTTTTAGAAGACTATAATCTTCAACAAATATATGTATTTTATCAAAATACAAAACTTTGTTAAAGACGTCCAAAAGGTATCGATTACACAGACTGAGTTATTTACAACTTTAGTAATTTTTTTTACATATTTTGTGCCCTCACAGACAAAAATCCGGCAAAATCCGGCAGGTGAATCTTGAATAGGATGAAAGCTTGTTCAAAAGTGATCTCAAATTCCATTGAAACATTTGTCCCTTTTAGTATCCTCGTTGATTGTTTTGTATTTTTAAAAGGTCGTTCCGTAGTTCAGTGTCAGCGCGCATTTGTCAAATACTGAATCAAAGTAGGCTCAGTGATAATATAACAAAGTTTGGTCACACATTGACCGGTTTTGCAGCATTAAACGCATATTCCTTAGAAAATGTGAAGGTTATTTTTTCAACATATCAGATCTCAAAAGTGAGAAAAGCATGTCTTTCAAGAATGAAAGTAAGTACAACCATGTAGTTAATAAGGTATTCAGTGTTAATTTCCAATTCATGATATAAATCAGTTATCTATGGAAGTTATTTGTTTGTGACAATTTCAAAAATAGATTAAATTATAAGTTATCAAATAAAATTTCAGTTGAAATCGACAGGCGAAAGCTTTTTAGACTGTGGAAAGAATTTAAGGGAAACGACATTGATAAATCAAACGTTGTGTCGAGAGAACTTTTTGACTGTTATGGCATTGAAACATAATCAATGCCGTAACAGTCAAAAACTTCTCTGGACACAAGTGGCAGCTGAAATCAACCATTTTGTGAAGGCGACATGCAAATATAAAAAAAAAACTGTGGGAAACCCACAACCGGACTATGCTTGAAAGCAGTCGTGGTTATTTCGATAGCCCCTTCAAACTACCACAGAAAGCTGTTGATCGTTTCCCTTGTACTTCTGGATCTTCCCGTCGTGGAAGAAAATCTTTGGCGTTCGAAGAAAGCAGCGAGGTTGTTAAGAGACGCAAGACGTCTGCAATGCGGCCTAACTACCCAACAGATGAACTTGCATTTGCAACCCAAATGAAATTACGTGAGGATGGTAAAGAAGATGCAGCGTTCATTGTAAAACAGGCAACGCTAACAACTCCGACAAGAGTCGTGAAAATGGGTTCGGTTATGCAATCATCCAAAAATGGCTTTGTACCCTATTCGGAGACGGAAGCTCTTGCGTTAATATTGGATCTTAATTTATCGAAAGACCAATACGAAAAGTTTCGTAATGTAGCTCTGGATCGGAATGTGCCTTTGTACCCGTCATACTACAAAGTGCTGCAAACTAAAAAGTGCTGTTATCCCAATACAGGGACAATACAATAGTTTCGGAAACGTCTGCAGAAGTGAAACTAAAGGATTTCTTGGAGCACACGACAATGAGGATTGTTGATGCAAATGCGTCCACGCTGGAAAAGTTTAGTGATGACGAATTGGAGAAAATGATGATTAAGTGGGGATTTGATGGCACAACTGGATTAAGTGAACACAAGCAAGCACTTGACGATGATGACGGAACTAAATCCGATGCAAATATGTTTGTTACATCCATTGTGCCTATCAAATTGGAATCAAATGGGAACATTTTCTGATCCTCTCATCAGCAGCCTTAGAGCATCTCGAGACAAGCCGATTAATGACCTCTGTAGCGATGCGAAATACATGCTTGGTGTGGAAGAGAAAGATGAAAATGTTTTTGATAACAATATTGTGTAATCTTTGTTAATATTTTTGATATATTTATATATACATGCATACAATGATGTATAACGTAATACGTTAAATCATTTAATTATAATATAATAATAGCTAACTGAAAATTATATATTACCTTCAAGTAGACTACTGTGATTTATGATTATGGCAATTACTCTGATGTCCGTGGTCAAGACCTTTTTGAAATGCAAAATAATCAACGAGGATACTAAAAAGGGCAAATGTTTCAATGGAATTTGAGATCACTTTTGAACAAGCTTTCATCCTATTCAAGATTCACCAGCCGGATTTTGCCGGATTTTTGTCTGTGAGGGCACAAAATATGTAAAAAAAATTACTAAATTTGTGAATAACTCAGTCTGTGTAATCGATACCTTTGGACGTCTTTAACAAAGTTTTGTATTGTAATAAAATACAAATATTTGTTGAACATTATAATCTTCTAAAACCTATAGTTTTTTGAAAATGTTATAAAAAGTGAAAAAAATTTAATTTTGTTGAACCGTCATATTAAACGCTACGTATCTCCAAAACTAAGGAATATAGAGGATTTGTGTGTTCAGCAAAGATTTTTGTAGTAAAATTATCTACAACTTTGCTCCAGACACCACATACCTATCTTGTAAATGTAAAAAGTTAGATTTTGCAGCGCCGCCTGTGGTGGAGTTCCGAACTAAAACCTATCACTAGTCTTTGCGCCTTATTTTATGCAAAAACTCTTTTAAAGACATCATAGTGAAAAAACCGGCATTGAAGGCGCAAATAAAGAAGTTCGTGATATTGAGCATTCAAACCACTGTGCATTGTATGCACAGGTGAAACGGGAACCTTATTTGTACGATGGTGTAAACATTATCACGCATACGGTATACCCTTCGGAGTGTTGAAACACCCTCGGCGCGATGACACCGATAATGACCATGCATCAGAACCCTAG